TTCAACTGTTGATTCAGTTTGGGTCACGTTAGCGTTTGTGGGAAAAATGAATTACTTCCAAATAGATTTCATGTCAGAAAGCTCGCAAAATGAGAAGTTCGTCAGGGAAGGTAATGATAGCAGGAACCCTGTGGATGAAAAATCTGGAAATTGCTGAGTTCTGGTCTACATTTCACTCATCCATTCATTCAACAAATAATATTGAGTGCCGACAAGCCACAAAAGAAAAGTAACAGTATACTGGGTTGCCATAGCTCTGCAGTGAAGAATTAAACAGAATGGGACAGAGTGTGTGGAGATGGGGTGAAGTGGGGGGATGGGCTGTCCGTGGTAGGATGGGTTGTGTTGGGGGGAACCAGGCTCATGGGGTTACCGGGGCATGTGCAAGGGTGGGGTGCATTGGGGGAACAGGCTTGTGTGAGATGGGGGTGGTTGTGGGGATGGGGCAGGGTTGGGGCACATTGCGGGACAGAGTGAGTGCAGAGTCAGGGCATATTGGGGGACGGGGCAAGTGTGAGGATGAATTGCACATGGGGTCGGAGAGCACTGGAGAGATGAGGAGAGCACGGGGTTGGGGTGCGTGTGGAGAACAGGCACATTTGGGGGATAGGGCACAGCCAGAGTGCATTGAGGGGATGAGGCATGTGCAAGGTCAAGATGCATGAATGAGGGGTACACCTGGGGGCAATGGGACTGGGTCAGAGTGCATGAGGGGGTGGAGCACCCTGGGGGGACTGGGCACACGAGGGGCAGGGGGCAGGGGGGCATATGTGCTGAGTGTGTCCAGACAGAGGACACATCTGGAATACCCTTCAAACAGCCGAGGCCAGTGTGGCTTGGAGCAGGGTTACAGGACAGAGACTGAGGAAGGGGTTTGCAAAGGGCTTGGTTGGCACTATCCCAGAGCAGAGTGGGGGTTGAGGGAGAGCCCCTGGCTGAGGGGTGAGGGGGTGCCGGCAGGGCGGGGCAAAACTGAGTTTACCTTAAAGCACATGGGGCTTGGAGGAATTGGGGTGGCACTGCACTGGCTATTTTTGTGGGGGTGGGGGGGCGACTGGGTGTTCAGTGGGAGTAGGTGGGGTGTGGCCTGGGGGTCCTGAGCACAGAGGAGGGCACCACTGAGAGGATGCACACTAATGTAGAGGAGCATCAGGGGGCAGGCTGCTCACAGATACGGGCTCAGGGCCTTGAGGTTGTGCGACCTCTTCTGACCCACCCCAGGTACCCCATCACCTTGTGCTGGGCTGTTTTGTCTAATGGGGATTTTTGCCAATAATTGCAGTTGTGAGACATAATACAGAGGGGTGCCAATACCCTTTGCTCAGTTCCTCCCCATGGTAACTTTTAGCAAAAACGTGCTGGTGTGTGTCACACCGGGATATTGACTCTGTTACCATCTGATGGCCTCGTTCAGAGCCCACCATTGTCTTTGTGCTCATTTGTGTACATGTGTTGAGTTCTGTGCAGTTTTATCTCATGGGGAAGTTAGCATGTCTCCACTAGAGTCAAGACGTAGAACATCTCCATCCCACAGGGTCCTGTTGGCTCTTTATAGTCACACCCATGTTAACCCATCCTTAACCCCTGGGCTTCGCTGATCTGCTCTTCATTTCTAAAATTCATCATTTCAAACATGTTACGTAAACGAAATCTTACCATAACCTCTAATGTTGGCTTTTTCCACTTGCATAACTCCCTGGAGATCTGGCCAGGCTGTATCAACAAGTGATTTCTCTCTGTGGCTCAGCCCGATTCCATGGTATGGCCCTCCAGAGCCTGTTCAACCATCCACCTGTGCCAGGACATTAGCGTTGCCTCCAATTTGGGGTGATTACAAATAAAGCTGCTATAAACACTCGTATACAGTTTTCATGAGAACACAAATTTCATTTCTCTGGGATAAATTCCCAGGAGAGCAATGGCTGGGTCATACGTTAGCTCCGTGTTTAGTTTTATATGGAACTGGAAACTTTTCCAGAGTGGCTGCACCATTCTACATTCCTGCCAGCATCGTGCCAGAGATCCAGTTTCTCTGCGTCTTCGTCAGCATTTGCAGATTTCACTAATTTTAATTTTTAGCCATTCTGATAGGCATGCAGGGTATGTCATGGTGGTTTCACTTTAACTCTCCTCGATTGCTAAATGGCGTTGAACCTCCTTTCATGCGCTTATCTGCCACCTATGTGTGCTCTTTGGTGACATGACTTCTCATGAATTTTGCCCCCTTAGCAACTGGGTTGTTTATTTTTACCATTGATTATATATTTCGATACCAGTCCTTTGTTGGATGTGGTAGATTCTCATTATTTGCAGTAGTTATGTTCTATCGCGTCCCAGCAAACACTGAATTGATGAAGAGTGAGCTCCCAGGGAAAGAAGGGAGGTAGGTTCCTGCCCGCCTCTGGTCACATTTTTGTCAGTTGATCAATAGGTACCTTTATTTGATACGTGCATCTGTTTAAAGATGCCTTATCTCATATATACTGCTGGCACATTAATGATGAACTCATGGCCGACAGCATGGTGACTTGTACCTGAAGGAAGGTCACCCAAGGAATTTTCTCCGTGAGGCACATCACAGCCCTCTTGTGCTCTGGACCCCTAGACAGCACTTCAGCTCTTATTCTTGGGGGCTGTTTTAAACAGGTAATCACCAAGGAAAAGCACAAAAATGCAAAAAATGTAGCACCGAATCAACCATGCAAAGAACGTTTGTTTACAGCCTGAGAGCTGGGGTGCGAAGGCAGAGCAGCGCCTTGTTCCTCTTCAGCTGGGAATGTGGGCGTTGGGAGAGCCGAGCATTCACTGGTCTGAGCATGTCCACGAGGGCTGCGAAAGCACCTCGAGGACTGATTTGGGGATCACAAGTTAAACTTAGGGAGTAGGTGAGTTCAAAAATAGAGACCCTGAGGGTAATGAGGATTGACTGTGGTTTGAAATACGGTCATCCCTTGGTATCCTGGGGGCTTGGTTTCAGGACCGCCTTGGGTACCCAAATCCGAGGATGCTCAAGTCCCTTATATGAAACGGTGTAGTATTTGCATATAACCTGTGCACATCCTCCTGTATACTTTCTTAAAAGGTTTTTTCACTGATACATAGTTGATTCACAATATTACATTGGTTTCAGGTGTACAACATAGTGATTCAAAATTTCTGTAGATTATACTCCATTTAAAGTTATAAAATATTGGCTCTTTTTCCTGTGCTGTACAAAATACCCTTATGGCTTATTTATTTTATACATAGTAGTTTGTACCTCTTAATCCCCTACCCCTAGCTTGCCACCCCCCCACTGATAATCACTAGTTTGTTCTCTGTATCTGTGAGTCTGTTTCTGTTTTGTTATATTCATTTGTTTTATTTTTTACATTCCACAAATAAGTGATAACATACAGTCTTTGGCTTTCTCTGTCTGACTTACTCCACTAAGTGTAATACCCTCCAGGTCCATTCATGTTGTTGCAAATGGCAAAATTTTATTCTTTATTGGCTGAGTAGCATTCTACTGTGTGTGCGTGCGTGCGTGTGTGCATGCGTGTGTGTGTGTGTGTATACACACACACACACCATATCTTCTTTATCCAGTCATCTGCTGGTGGGCATTTAGGCTGCTTTCTTATCCTGGCTATTGTAAATAATGCTGCTGTGAACATTGGGGTGCATGTATCTTTTCAAATTAGCACTTTTGTTTTCTTTGGGTATATACCCGGGAGTGGAATTGCTGGATTGTATGGTGGTTCTATTTTTAGTTTTTTGAGAACCCCCCATACTATTTTCCACAGTGGCTGCACTGACTTTCATTCCCACTATCCTTTTTCTCCACATCCTCACCAACATTTGTTGTTTGTATTCTTTTTGATGACAGCCGTTCTGACGGGTGTGAGTTGGCATCTCATTGTGTTTTGATTTGCATTTTCCTGATGATTAGTGATGCTGAGTGTCTTTTCATGTACTGGTTGGCCATCTGCATGTCCTCTTTGGAAAAATGTCTGTTCAGGTCTTCTGCCCATTTTTTAATTGGGTTATTATTTTTTTTAATGTTGAGTTGTATGAGCTGTTTGTATATTTTGGATATTAACCCCTTATTGATCATATCATTTGCAAATAAGTTCTCCTATCCTGTAGGCTGTCTTTTCATTTTGTTGATGGTTTCCTTTGACATGCAAAAGCTTTTAAGTTTAATTAAGTCCCATTTGTTTATTTTTGCTTCTATTTCCTTTGCCTTAGGAGACAAATCCAAAGAAATATTGCCATGATTTATGTCAAAAAATGTTCTGCCTGTGTTTTCCTTTAGGGTTTTTATGCTTTCTGGTCTTACATTTAAGTCTTAAATACATTTTGCATTTATTTTTGTGTACGGTGTCAGAGAATGTTCTAATTTCATGTTTTTACTTGTAGCTGTCTAGTTTTCCCAGCACCAACTTTTGAAGAGACTGTCTTTTCTCTATTGTATGTTCTTGCCTCCTTAGTCATAGATTGATTGACCATAAGCATGTGAGCTTGTTTCTGGGATCTTCTATTCTATTCCATTGATCTACGTGTTTATTTTGGTGCTAATACCATACTTTTTTTTTTCTTGTTTTTGGACAAGAAAGTAGGATTTATTGGTGGGTGTGAGTAAGGAGAGAGCAACACAAAGGCTGTCACGAGTGCAGGTCTGCCATTTTTCTAGGAGGCCATGATTAGAGATGTACTTGACCCCACAGCCATCTGGAAAGAGCTGCTTTTCTGCCACCATGTTTTCAAATTCATCTGCACTAAACTTAGTGAATCTCCACTTTCTGGTGATGTGGGTCTTCTCCAGGGAACTTGAACTTGACACTATGTAGGGCCCCAGTCACATGCTTCTTGTTCTGCGTCTTGGTGTGGGTGAACATGATGACTTGGCCAACGTAGACCCTGATCACTGTGTCCTGGGTTGTTCCAAAGGCACCACAAATACCTATCTGGAGCCTAGACTGGAGACAGCATGCCAGACATGAATATCCACTGGGAAGGGCTGTCAGCAAGGTCCCCTAAGGCAATTCATACAAACAACATGCTGCATACACTACCAAAGAGGCTGCTGTTTGCAGCCATTGCACACCAGTCCCCCACAGGAAAAAGAGCAGTCGGCATAATTAGCTGCAGAAATACCATACTGTTCTGATTACTGTAGCTTTGTAGTAGAGTTGAAGCCAGGGAGTGTGATTCCTCCAGCTCTGGTGTTCTTTCTCAAGATTGTTTTGGCTATTTGTTTTTTGTGTGTGTGTTTCCATACAAATTTTAAAATTATTTGTTCTAGTTCTGTGAAAAATGCCATTGTTATTTTGATAGGGATTGCATTGAATCTGTTGATTGCGTTGGGTAGTATGGTCATTTTAACAATATTCTTCCAATCCAAGAACATGGTATATCTTTCCATCTGTTTGTGTCATCTTCAGTTTCTTTCATCAGTGTCTTACAGTTCTGAGTCCAAGGCCTTTTACCTTCTTAGGTAGGTTTATTCTTAGGTATTTTATTCTTTTTAATGCAATGGTTAATGGAATTGTTTCCTTAAATTCTCTTTATGATAGTTCTTTTTTTGGTATATAAATGCAACAGATTTCTGTATATTAATTTT